TAATCTTTTAAACTAGAGAACCGCTCAAGTTAGCTTTTGCATCATTCTTCTGTGCTTGGGTCAAGGACCACAAAGGTGGCTTTAACAATCCTGAGCAACTGATAGTGACAGAACACATAAAACAAAGACTAGCACTGCTTCTCTCATCATTACTAACAAACTACTTTCCTTACAACCAAATGAATTTATGACATCATCAATGATGCTAGGAAATCATATCTATTTGGGAAAGCAACCTGGTTACCAAACAATTATTACTCTGATGTAAACTTATAGCTAGACCTATGTTCAAACATGTAATATCTATGATTCCAACTTGCTAAGAATATTTTTATTGGGCTGAAAGTTGGTTGAGACCTTCAACATAATTAGTAACAATCTTGCAGCAATTTTTAAACAGCAAATACAAATGCACTCACTAACTGCGAATATATAATAAATAATAATAAGTAAAATAATATTGATAATAATAATTAGTTAATGATGATGATAATGATGGCAATAATAGTTAGTCTAGATAATAGTAGACGTAATAGTGTCTATGGGTAAATAAAAAGTAGAAAAATAAAATAATAATAAATAATAATAAAAACTGCATTTCACAATAGTAGCAATGTCTAGAATAAAGAATGTAAAACAAACGAATAAAAATTTTTATGTCTTAAATATCTCCATCGCTATCATCGCTGTCAGCAAAAAAGTCTATCTCAATTTTCTCCACATAGTGTTTACGTCGTGCAGAAAGATGACGATCAAAGCGAATACTACCAAACTCAGAAATCATGAACTCATCATCGTTAGAAAATCCACTGTCTTCAAGGATTGTCTCATTTTCAAATATTAAATTTTCAGCAAAATCTTTTCCTTTATTTCCTTTCCCTTTAATTGAAACTAGACTCTCTGGTGCATTTTTGGCCTGTGGGGACATGATTTGAATATTTGAAGTTTTATTTTTAACAACTGTGGATGCCATTCCATCCCTCACTGTCCAAGGACAGAGAAGGGATTTCCAAGCATCTCTCGAGTCACTGCTTAGAACAACAAAAAAGAAGAAAATAAAGAAACCTTGAAATGTATTGAAGAAAGCAAAAAAGAACTGAATGATGAATGAGATGTTAGGCTCAGTAATGAATGTGAAGACAGCAAACAGCCACGTGAGACCAAAGAGTATCAAGATACCAAAATAAGATAATAACATTTTGATTGCATCAGATGTGGTAAGTGGAGATTTATTCATTCTCTTGTTCTTACCAATAGTGTGGAGAATAACCACACAAATAACAAGGACATATATGACAACATTGAAAATCAGTATAATGAAGATTGGAAGCAGAAAAGCAACAAGAAAGGGTATCATTTCACTAATAAAACAACTAGAGAAAAAAACAACATAACTTTATTATAGTATAATACAATTTTGTCACTTACAATCCAGACTGGTTTCCATTTTCATATAAATAAATGTAAAAGTCACGGTCAATTGCTAATGTGATTACAACTGGCAAGAGTGGCAAAGCTATATATAGAGAAATCATT